ATCTAGTGTATTCATACCCTATTTCACGTGCTCCATTAGTTCATCTAGTGTGTTCACGCCCTATTTCACGTGCTCCATTAGTTCATCTAGTGTATTCACGCCCTATATAACGTGCTCCATTAGTTCATCTCGTGTATTCATACCCTATTTCACGTGCTCCATTAATTCATCTAGTGTATTCATACCCTATTTCACGTGCTCCATTAATTCATCTAGTGTATTCATACCCTATTTCACGTGCTCCATTAATTCATCTAGTGTATTCATACCCTATTTCACGTGCTCCATTAGTTCATCTAGTGTGTTCACGCCCTATTTCACGTGCTCCATTAGTTCATCTAGTGTATTCACGCCCTATTTCACGTGCTACATTAGTTCATCTAGTGTATTCACGCCCTATATAACGTGCTCCATTAGTTCATCTTGTGTATTCACGCCCTATATAACGTGCTCCATTAGTTCATCTCGTGTATTCATACCCTATTTCACGTGCTCCATTAATTCATCTAGTGTATTCATACCCTATTTCACGTGCTCCATTAGTTCATCTAGTGTGTTCACGCCCTATTTCACGTGCTCCATTAGTTCATCTAGTGTATTCACGCCCTATTTCACGTGCTCCATTAGTTCATCTAGTGTATTCACGCCCTATTTCACGTGCTCCATTAGTTCATCTTGTGTATTCACGCCCTATATAACGTGCTCCATTAGTTCATCTTGTGTATTCACGCCCTATATAACGTGCTCCATTAGTTCATCTAGTGTATTCACGCCCTATATAACGTGCTCCATTAGTTCATCTAGTGTATTCACGCCCTATATAACGTGCTCCATTAGTTCATCTAGTGTATTCACGCCCTATTTAACGTGCTCCATTAGTTCATCTCGTGTATTCATACCCTATTTCACGTGCTCCATTAATTCATCTAGTGTATTCATACCCTATTTCACGTGCTCCATTAGTTCATCTAGTGTGTTCACGCCCTATTTCACGTGCTCCATTAATTCATCTAGTGTATTCATGCCCTATTTCACGTGCTCCATTAATTCATCTAGTGTGTTCACGCCCTATTTCACATGCTCCATTAGTTCATCTAGTATATTCACGCCCTATTTCACGTGCTCCATTAGTTCATTTTGTGTATTCACGCCCTATATAACGTGCTCCATTAGTTCATCTTGTGTATTCTCGCACTATATATCGTGCTCCATTAGTTCATCTAGTGTATTCACGCCCTATATAACGTGCTCCATTAGTTCATCTAGTGTATTCACGCCCTATATAACGTGCTCCATTAGTTCATCTAGTGTATTCACGCCCTATATAACGTGCTCCATTAGTTCATCTCGTGTATTCATACCCTATTTCACGTGCTCCATTAGTTCATCTAGTGTGTTCACGCCCTATTTCACGTGCTCCATTAATTCATCTAGTGTATTCACGCCCTATTTCACGTGCTCCATTAATTCATCTAGTGTGTTCACGCCCTATTTCACATGCTCCATTAGTTCATCTAGTGTATTCACGCCCTATTTCACGTGCTCCATTAGTTCATTTTGTGTATTCACGCCCTATATAACGTGCTCCATTAGTTCATCTTGTGTATTCATACCCTATTTCACGTGCTCCATTAGTTCATCTAGTGTATTCACGCCCTATATAACGTGCTCCATTAGTTCATCTAGTGTATTCACGCCCTATATAACGTGCTCCATTAGTTCATCTAGTGTATTCACGCCCTATATAACGTGCTCCATTAGTTCATCTCGTGTATTCATACCCTATTTCACGTGCTCCATTAATTCATCTAGTGTATTCATACCCTATTTCACGTGCTCCATTAGTTCATCTAGTGTGTTCACGCCCTATTTCACGTGCTCCATTAGTTCATCTAGTGTGTTCACACCCTATTTCACGTGCTCCATTAGTTCATCTAGTGTGTTCACACCCTATTTCACGTGCTCCATTAGTTCATCTAGTGTATTCACGCCCTATATAACGTGCTCCATTAGTTTATCTTGTGTATTCACGCCCTATATAACGTGCTCCATTAGTTCATCTTGTGTATTCATACCCTATTTCACGTGCTCCATTAGTTCATCTAGTGTATTCACGCCCTATATAACGTGCTCCATTAGTTCATCTTGTGTATTCACGCCCTATATAACGTGCTCCATTAGTTCATCTAGTGTATTCACGCCCTATATAACGTGCTCCATTAGTTCATCTAGTGTATTCATACCCTATTTCACATGCTCCTGTTATTGTCTCATATATATTCAATCCCTTATTTATTTGTCCCATTATTTGATCTCGTGTATTCAGACCCTATTCCCCGTATCCTGTTACTTTATCTAGCATTTACAGGCCCTACTGCACGTTCTCCTATTACTGTCTGTGGTATATTCAGCCCCTAGTTCATGTACTCTGTTACTTTATCTCGTGTATCCTGACCCAAATGCACGTGCTGTAGCTCTTCCTCTGGTGTATCCGAACAAATCACTTGCTTTCATTGCTTCCTGTTGTCATTCCAGACTTTTTACGCACTTATATTGTTTCCTTCCGCATATTTTAACAATATTCTATACAGTCTGTTGCTCCTCGTGTGTATTCATATGATATTGCTAGTGCTTGATTGGTTTCCATAGTATATATCCAAATAATAGTTTACAAGCTTGTCTCGTTTCCATCACTCAGAGTATCCTAAGAGTATTCCCCCATGCTCATCTACATCCATCGATTTAATTGAAATCAAATTTCACCTCCTCCAATGCTTCACAACCTGGTTTTACTTCTGAATCCTGCTGCTTCCTCTAGTATCCAGGCCATATTTTCTACATCAGCTTATCAATTTGTCCTTTGCTTATCTCAATGGTCTCAGACATTAATTTTTGTATACTTATAATGCTTTCACAGATTCAGTCCCAGCTGTCAGTATGTACTGACTACATACATATTGCATCTGTCTGGGTTGCTACCTTTGTTATAAACATATATAATTTATCTGTGAACAATGATTCCTTTATCTAGACAATATTCAACATCCCTGTTTCTTTCCAATACAAATACAAATTGTTAACATACTGCTTTTTTTAAAAACTTTTAAGGTACATGCAAGTTTTAATTTTTACAGAAATTACTTCATAGTTTACTGTTAATTTTTCATTGAGATCGTTGAAAGCTGTACAAGTATAAAGCCACTGGGTATTGGACAGCCTGAAGACTTCGCTAAGATGGTGGCCATATTACCCTCTGACATCAGCAGTCACATGACCGCTGAAAACATGTTTGTGTGTGGAAATATTGTGCCATGTTAGTTACAATCATAAGCAAGATTCGTCATGATCAAAGAACAACAAAAACATACCAACATGTCAACACAATCATAATCAAATACTCAAACTGAATAGGGCAAATATGAACAGAAGAAATATTTATATGGAGACTCATAAAACATACAAGAATAATAACACATACAGTTCAAGGAGTGGAAAGCGTCTTCTACTTCATTGACGACGTCCATCATGTGGATTATGTTTAACTCTAGTAAGTAATATCACATTCTCAAATGAGAACAAGGTATACAACAACATGAACTAAAAGGCAACCTAACCTGCATCAAACACATCCACAAACAAGTAGATTTGCATTAAAAAAATAAAACCCCAAATCTGAGAATATTATACATGCAGAAGAAAATGTTTAAGAATGAATGAAGCAACTCCCTGCAACTAAAAACAGTAACTGTAACCTTGGCCTTAAAACTCTGTAACAAGAACTAATCAGTAGTATTGTTGTAGTTGTCCTTTACAGAAGCTGTATAGACATGTAACACAAGATTTAGATTCCCCCAAATAAAGTTATAAGACACTAAAATGATAAAATTTGTAAATTTGAAATGAATAAACAATCATGAATTACTAAGTCATAGATAAATGACACAATGGGACAGATATACAGATGTCAAAATACAACATCAGTTTACAAGAGATTTACTGTAAAAACCCAATATTTTTGTGTGGTTTTCAAAAAAAAAAAAAAAAAAAAAGAAGTAAAGCCAACTTTTTCGTGGACACATAATTGTGTAAATATAGCTAAATAAAACTAGAATTTTTTTTTTTAAACAAATAGATACCCCCGGTATATCAATTTGTTGATCAAATGTACCCACAAAATGAACTTAAAACAAGATAGATTTGAGAGAAATAAAGAGATTTTCTCTATTGGACTCCGCCCCTTTGGTCCCAGGGGGTTAAAACCAAACATTTATACAAAACTGATTACTCTTCACCCAAGCATGCTTCAGACGAAATGTGAACAACCTGCAATTCCTGAAGAACAAGATAGATTTTAAAGAAATTGATAGATTCTCCCTATTGGGCCCTGTCCCTTTAGCCCCAGGGGGCCAGACCCACCACTTACACAAAATTGATTTCTTTTCCCCCAAGGATGCCTCAGACCAAATTTGATTAAATTTTAGTCCTTTTGGGCCAGGTATTTTTAAAAAAAAATGAATGATTTCACAGTATTCAATATTGAGTTAGTGTAATGTTATAATAGCTCTTTATGCTATAAACTGACATTTTCAGGTTAGTACCATCTCCCCTCTAGAACCATGAAACACAAGAATAGATTAGTATAGGTGTTTCATAAGCATCCTTCTATTTGAACTTATTGGCTTTATTTATAATCAAAGATGACTGTTGCTGGCCTTCTAAAATTTATCAATAGCATTATAGTTGGTTAAAGTTTGTAATCATCTTCCTGAAGCTTATTTGGTATGCTGAACATTTGTCCTAGTTGTACTTGAATTTTATACTTTGACCATGTTATTTATGATCTTGCCATTCACTTCTCACCTTCTATTTTAAGAAACACATTACATTTTATCTTAAAAGTGTCCACCCCCCTCCTCCTTGCCAATAAAGTCCTCAGTATGAATATCTGAACTATACAAGTTCAAGATATAGTTATGCATCCACAACAGAAAAGGAACAACTACTGTATTCACTGTTTTATTTAACATCTATTAAGTGAAATGCATTTTGTCATCTCCTTTTTAGAGTCTATCCAAAGTCCACGCCCTTTTATTGGTATATTGATTGTTATTTTCAGATAGAGGTCATCAGTCGTCTTCATTCGCCAGAGACCCAAACACTTCTGATGGAACAGACTGTTTCTGCACTTCTAATTCTGAAATAACAAATATGTTACCTTAAATGACAACATCTGACACCAATGATTTGGAATTATAAATATAGTCCAACACTTTGTGTCAGTTCAAATTGCTTTTATCTTTCTGAAATCATGTAAAGGTTGAATGACTACTAACCACAGTTAACCTTCAAACAATGCATCTTTGTCAACCCCATGCTGTAAAATATATCTGTGTCCATTTTGTAATTGGTTCATATAGAAATCTATAGTTTAATTAAAATAAATTCTTATACAGTATTTCCTGATTGTCTTAATCATTTTTGTGTCCATAAATGATGAAAAAATGAAAATTTAAATCTATAGTCATTAATACATCCCTACCTTCAATATTTTCTTCATCATCACTAGAAAAGTCATCGATGTCAATTGCATCAGGATTAGCTGTCTTTGTCATCTCCCCTAGCTCTTCATCTGTGGTGTTACTCCTGAAAATTGTGGGAAGCATTACTAAACATTTCCTCTGGGTTGGTAATTTACATCAAACAGGATGTAATTATATCACAAGCAGTTGGAAAATTATGTGTGACTTTTCAATGACTACATCTTCACCTTCATCAGAAATATGACCAATGTGAAGAATATTTGCACTGAGGTATACAGTGTATGAGGTGGTACTGAAATCACAGAACACTCTGTCTTAGAATATATACTTATGCAATGTACACATAAAGATACAAGATCCTAGTGAAATTCCATTAAATCTGTTCTGTTTGCTCCAAAGAAATGATAAGTAGACAATACGTAATCCTGTTAGTGAGCAGATTTTATATACAGATGACAGTCCAAAAGTAAAATTGAAATGGAGTATATGCGACTGAGATGCACAGAATTCCCAACATATGCAGAATCTTGTGTAGCATTGCCTGAAAATCATTTGAAGCAAGATGATAATACTTAACAACAAATAAAATCATAAAAGATAATGTTTCAAAGTAAGTTCCCTACCTGACAAACAAGATGCCCTTGTCTGGTTTAGCCTGGTCCTTCATTGCCTCCTCTGCCAGCTGCCGAGCACGTTCCTCTAACTTCTTCATGCTATCTATCTCTGGATTTGAGGTTTCTGTAATCATAATCATGGTTCATTATTCTTATATGAAACTTCAATCTTTTTCCATTCTTGGGTCTATGACATAGCATTGAAATATTGACGGAGATTGAAAAGAAGACTCACTTCAACAGCCTAAATATTTTTTGGGTAGATCCTATACAAACAATTGTTATTATTGATTCCTACTTTATAATTTGTAAAATCAATACATTCAATCAAACTGAAATATGAAGAACAACTTCACAAACATTATGAAGACTGACTAACACTGAATTTTATGTTGTGTTCATTAACATGGAAGCTTTCATAATTTTCTGTCTTCACATCTAAGTGAATTTAATAGCTGACATTGTCTAAATAGATAGGGAAGATTTGAGAAAGTAAAAATTGTTTCCATAGAATTTTAATTTGAATAAGATAAACACCACTTAGATAGATATCATCACAAAAGAGAAATAAATTTGACACTGATAAAAAGCTTGATTACCTAGAGTACATGTCTCTTTGAGCTAAATAAATGAGATATTCAATGTAGCAACAAACATGGCTATCTACATAGTATATCCTACTTTTACCTGGAGTATCTGTCTTTCCTCCACTTTGTGCGGCCATAATTTGCGAGGACATGAAGTTGACCTAAAAGAAGAAACAATTGTTTGTTTACTGTACTTTCTGACCTCAATAACCTTCTGATCAGGACACAAAAAAAGAATAGAAAAGAAATTATCAAATTTGTCATATGTCATTCCGAATTTTGTTAAATCACGTTTATATTTCTTAGGGCAAGTATTACACGACAATGACATTCTTTGTCATTCTCCACTGATGTACTAATTTTTATCTTACAATAAGCTCCGAGGTCTGAGGTGGGCTTATTACAGGACAGCAAAGAAATAATTGTAATTGCTTTGAGCAGTACTTAAATGTGTAGATTTATTATCAGGCAAGGGGTAATTGTCAGCTAAATACTGTGTGGTGCTTTCTTGTTAACTTTCAAATATTTTTTTTTTGTTTTCTTGTAAAAGTATGCTTGTAAATTAACTTTGCAATATGCAATAAAAACGTTTCTTAAAACAGACCATTCAGTGCTATGCATGTGAAAATTGACTTCTTTATTTCAAAATAGGACTCTTAAATTTTGTCTTTATCAAATGCATGCAGCTTTGATGATGTAGAAAATCACTCTCACAGCTTTGATGTCCTTTCTCACCTGTGTGTTGTACATGGCCTGTATGCTGCGTTTAATTCTCAACATTTCCCGCACTGTGTCCTCATTGCCATGTTTAATCTCAAACTCTTTCCAAACCTGCCAGAAGTGTGGTGCTACCTGTAATAAGTATCAAGTGGTTTAGATTCCTTGTAAGAATATATGTCAAAAACTGAAAAAGAAGCTTTCAAAAACTATCAATTAAATATTTGTGTACATAGTCTCAAACAAATTTCTTAATTAAGGTTTTAGCTAATTTAACAGCAGTTTTATTCAAGTTAGCATTAAATTTGTTGAACGCTTTTATTGGCCTAAGATACAGAGTTATTTCCCTTACCCGAGGATCACACATCTGAGTGCAGTGAGAGTATAGCGCCCTTGCTCTATCGATCTCGCCAAGTTTTCTCTCGAGATCCGCAAACCTCATACACATCTCTCTGGAGACACAGAAATATAAATAAGAAGAAAATGATTAACATACATGTATGATAAGACTAAACACATTATTGCAACCAATGTTAACTCACGATATTTCATGAAAAGAGACAAAAATACTATCATTCATAGATATACAGAAGTAAAATACATATTACCAATTATAGAAGTGAAGTATCCTTAATACTTGTGAGTTTTAGTTTTAATTTCCTAAAGATTCTAATGAGACTAATAACCTTTCCTAGTCATACTTATTTATTAAAATAAAGGAAGTTGAGAAGTTGCTTCTAAGTTGCAATTACTTGTACTATGTGTTCAATAGAACAAATCAAACATATTTAAATCAATAAAATAAATATGAAAATCTATACTACATGTAAATCTGTAAACCCATATCATCATTCCAAACACAAAAGGCAGAGCTTACCGCGAATGCTCATCTGGCAGGACCTCTATGGCCTTTTCGTAGATAGGTCTTGTGTATGTCACACCGTATATCTCTGCTGCTCTTTTTATGTACACATTAAACATCTGCGAAAGAAGCATTGTGTGCTGTATTAAATAACATTCATAAATAGTTGCCAGTAAAAATAACAGACAGTGTGATGATATCATTAATTCTAGGGTGATATTGAATAATAAATTACAAACTTGGTGTTGAATATTTTGAGTTTCAGCTTTGTTGTAACTTCACAAATCTTATCCCCAGTTTGCAATTTCTAGGGCTACATTACAAGGAAAATTACAAAAAAATTATTCTTATCCATAAGTCTTGGTGTCCTGTTAAGCCCATTCTTGTATTTTTTTACCAGCTCTATCCTTTGAGATTTGACTCCTTACCTCTGCCTGTTCTTCAGGCAACACTCCTTTAGTTGCCCGATCATACACAGCCATGGCATGCCGTGCCAACCCATGCTCCTCTTCCAATTTGGCATACAGAAGGAAAATTGCTAAACAAAACAACATAAAATGATATCAAGCTTGTGAAATGTTGCTGATTGAGAGTGTTTTAAACAATGTGTTCATAAACTGATAATGCTTGTGTTTCTTGTGTTGATATTTTACGCGACAAATCAAAAGAACTGGTTCACAGTTAGTGCTTTTGTGGTTGATTTTTTATTTTTGTTCTTTTCTGTTTTAGATCATGTTATTGCCTTGTTATTCAGGAAATATGCAAATAATATTTTCTGTGTATTATATATGTCTAATATAACCTCTTGTGATGTCAGGTTTATATAATGAAATGACATAGCACTCTCACAGATTACACTCAAGTTTGACATACAAATGTCTTTTTCTATAATATTTTCCTAAATGATCAATTTTTAATTGGAATTTAAAAAATCATACCAAAATGGAAACTCTTGTAAGATCCTGTGTTTATCAGACTTCATGCCAATTAGCCAAGTACTTGGAATCACATACCTTTTGCAAATTTTGGTGGACAATTTTCTAGGCACTGCTCAAATAAGTCCCTCGCTCTCTCGAGTTTAGACCCTCCCTACAAGATAAAACAGTATCAAGATATTTTTACTCTACTTCATGATAACAAAGTACATTAAGTGGACATCTTTTTCTTGTCTTTGTCAGATCTTTTGATTTTTATATCCCTGTCTTAAGATTTAACAGTGATCAAAATCTTTAGGTAAATTATTCAATGATATATTAATAAAGAGAATTAATTTACTTACATATCTTTCAATAAACTTGGACAAATATGTATTCCAGATGTCGTAAACGTTGGGCCACTTGAACAGAGCAATACCTTTCTCATAGGCCTGAAAAAGATATGAAAATGTTTACTTTTTTTCATGACACTGAAATAAAGCATATCACATAAAACAATAACATACATGATCATACATTAAAAGAAATTTTATTTCATGATGAAATCTCTTAAGAATTTTCATCTGAATTGCAAATCGTTAGCGGACTAATTTTAAAAAAATGCCTGTGACAGTTTAATTGTTAAAAATTAAAACACAAATGGCCATGTTATTGTATATAGATTCAATCACTAAACAACATAACACTAGTAAGATAGAATACTACATTTCTAAATACTTACCTTGAATGCTTCCTCAAAGTAGTTGTTTTCCTCCAAAAACAGGCCATAGTTCATGATGATCTGAGGAGTTGCTATCCGTAGGTCAATGATTCTATCATACACAGCTTTACAGGTCTAAAAAAGACAACATTAAAATGTTTATTAGTTTCTTCTCAAAGTACACCACTGTATCAAATTTACAATATTTTTGACTTTCTCAACAACTCTAACTAAGCATTACATATACAATTGTCCTGTCCCTCTACTGTATCTTTGTGAAAGAGTCCTGGCCCCACTTGTATAAAACATCTCAACTTGAGATTTCCTCAAGTCGAGATTTTCCTCAGCTGATATCTCCTTGAAAATATCTTGTATGAAAATTCCTCAAGGAATTTCAGGACATCCTAGCCGATGCCTTCCTCCTGTTCCTTGCGAAAAATTTTATACAAGCCGTTTCGAGGAGATATCAGCTGAGGAAAATTTCGACTTGAGGAAATCTCAAGTTGAGATGTTTTATACAAGTGGGGCCTGCTAACTTTGTACACTACACAAAATTTGAAATTTAAATGACAAGAAGTAGATCTAATTACACTTCTATTTAATAAGTAAGACTGTGTCTGATAATCTTTGAATTGGTAATATTCATATGGATTAAATTTTACTAGGTTCATAATCACTGAAGAAATTTCAAAATTAAAAATTCTACAATCATTTTCTGAGTGAATCAAATTGACGGAAAAGTTTTACATCTGCAAAAATAGATACTAACTGATACACAATTGAAATTTAATCATTGTGATTTAGCCCTAATCTGGACAACCACAAAATATATGGCTGCAAAATTAAATTACCATATCATATTTATCAATATATGGTAAAGCACAGTGTATATTCGACAATGATGATGTACAAACACTCTATGTTCTGAGCCAATTCCAATTGGGTAATCATTTTAATTCTTAAACCAAGCAATGCAATATAAGACAGATATATATATATATATATATTTGTCAGTTTGATCCAACATGGAGTCAAGCAAGTCAGTGCTTTCAGTAGTAGTTAACTGAAATTGTTTACATACTTTAAATGTACCAAAGCTTTCTTCAAGGTCAGCATACATAGACCAAACTTTCAGGGATTTGTGTACCCGGTCCTGCACTGTCTCACTCTGTAAACATACCAACACAATCAATTCTACCTTTATCTAAATATATATACAATTAAATTCTGACAACAACATATAAATATCTGTAAAATCATATCAGGTAGATTATCAACCTCTCTTTTTAAATTTAAGTACTTGACCGTTGATCAGTTTACATCACCAAATTCTCTATGAAACGAGTAATTAATGTAAAACAACACATAACGAATGACATTGATAACTGATCATTTGCCCAAATCTCTATAACCCTAGAAAGTAAGATCATAACCTCAGATTTTTTGTTTTCTTACAAACTCTTCCAGGCTGTTTGTGTTGTTTATCAAAACTGGCAATGATCTCTATTTCAATGTGAATAATGAAAATGTTTCACATCTGCCATAGTAAATTTTCATCAATCATTTCTCAAAGCAAGTAAATATGAGACCACTTTTGTCTCACAAACACAAACCCAATCAACCTCTACACTAAAATAAATGAACTTGAGACATACTGACCTCATCATGATAGGCCACCTTCCGCGGTGGAGGTACTGTAGTTTTTTGCATCAATTTCAAGGCTTCTTCATAGTTTCTGTATAGTAATCACACATTGCTTTATATATGTGTATTTTTTTTTATCTCAAACAGTTGCAATATTAATACAAAATTTGACTTGCCCCTTTTTTCTCAGGTTTTGTTTGAGATTATTAAAAAGATCTCTGTACTACACAGATCAATATCCAACATAACACGAATCATTATAACACAGTTATAAATCGTAACATTTAGACTGTTATTACTATTCAGACTTTATAACTCACTCATGTCGAATTTCCATCTCTCCCCATTCACAGGTGACTGTGGCCAGGTCATCTACATGTTTGTAAGGCACCTTCACAGCTTTGTCAAATATCACACGTGCCTGTGACAGAGATCCAGTTAACTGATGAATATCTTTTAAATTACACATAACAACGTATGTTTGAAATTCATTTCCAATCAGTCAGTTTGGGTTCATTCAATGATTGGCACTACTGTCTCTCACTCTTTTGTATCAGAAAGTGTTATTTACTTGTATGTTTTTTGTACTATCTTTAGTATCCTGATAAAACATACAGGTTTTCTACATTATAAATATTAGCCCGTATTTCACTGGGAAAACTATATTAATATCTGTTTACTTACATCCTCTATTTGTCCTGCTGCCTCATAGAATTTGGCAAACTCTACCCACAGTGTGCCAGGCTTCCCAGAGGCCTGCTTTGGATCGACTGTCTGAACTGCTTCTGTGTAAGTGTTGATTATCTGTTGATGCAACAAGCCATGAGTACAGCAGAACCAATGTCAAGGTACAACTGAATACCTTTTGTAGATTATTTCTGAACATTGGCAGTTTCATCAGGATTCATAAAGAAGTTGTATTAAAATATTGGAAATGTTGCAAGAGCCTAATTGTATAGCATTTTTCAAATTTATTATAAATTCCACTCGGCAATGTTCAAAGGTGGAGATCACATTTATTCTGACTTTCTAATTTTTATCTGAATAGTTTACAGTGAGTACAACTTGTCTCCTTACACATTACAATGTTCATCATATAGAAAAGGATGGTATCATAAATGTTAAACTCTAAAAAAAAATTGTCACACTTACCTCCCTTGGTTTGCCCTCGTACAGTTTCACCCTTTTGTGCCATTCATGGACATTGTGTGGATTTTGTCGAAGAAGGACACTAAAAAATGAAATTTTATTAAGGTAAAACAGCTGAAAATTGAAAAAATTATTTATAAGTATTTATTTGCTGTACAAATGGATTCTATAATAAGGGGCCTGCACTGATCACCGGACCATTTCTACAAAATTGATTCCCATTCACCCAAAGATGCTTCAGACTAAATTTGGGCAAAATCCAATCATTCTTACAGGAGGAGTAGGATTTTTTTTTAAATTGCTTTATTTCCCTTTTTGGGCCTTGCCCCTCCCATCTCAGGGGGCCTAGACCTTAAATATGTACAAAATTGATTCCCCTTTATCCAACAATGCTTCAGACTAAATTTGGGCATAATCCAATCATTTCTACATGAGGAGTAGGATTTAAGATTTTCATTTTTGAGCCCCGCCCCAAAAGCCCCTGGTGGAAGAGACTCACTATTTACACATTTATACAAAATTTGATATCTTTCCTATGGGATGCTTCAGACCAAATCTGGTCAAAATCTTGTTAGTTGATTATGACTAGTAGCGATTTGTATGTAAAAGTTGACAGACAGATGGACAAAGCAGTACGCCATAAGCTCACTTCGCCCTTTGGGACATGTGAGTTTAAAATTCAAGCAGATATGACAATGTGACAGTGCTAAACAAATAAAACACTGTCAAAATGGTTGAAGAAGTGACTTTCCCCATTAAATATTCTTCTTACTTCAAATATTCAAACCATGCTGCTTTTATGATATCTATGTTACTAAGAACTTAAAAAACAAGAGGTCCAAAAGGCCTGTTGCACTCAGCTGATATATATATATATATATCATCAAAATATCATGCCTCTAGGCTTTTAAGTTCATGAGAAGAAGTTGTTTAAAATTTTTAACAAATCTGACCCCTGTGACCTTGAATCTAAGTCAAGGTGACATTTTGAAAACTTTGTCAGGTTTCATTCTTGGAACATGCCAGCCAAACATCAAAACATTTGGTCTCTTGGTTATTGAGAAGAAGTTGTTTAAAGGAAAAAGTTGATGCCGGGCTATGGCATAAGCTCATTGGGCCCTTCGTGCTTTCACCTAACATCTGAACCAGATACATTCTCAGAAACATCGTTACCAATTCAAAAAAAAGTAAAACATTACCGTGGGTGATTCCTTCTAATTCTTACCTATTTAGAAGTAATGGTCTTCTGTCCATCAGACCTTCCAACCTGGCTAAACGTAACTCAAGATTGAGGTCATCTGAAAACAGGTCAAATTAGCTTTTTTTTTATTTCAAGCACAACAAAAGGACAATCAATCAGAGTTGTTTTAAAGGAAAAGTTTGAAATCCTCCATACAAGGGTTAAACGATGAACAAATGACCATATTCATTAATAACAATCCAAGAGAGCCAAAATTTTCAGAAGCATTTAAACTTGCATATAAAATTTCAGAAAAAGCGAAACAACCTAATAGTGTGGAAAATATAAGATTTATACAATTAAACAATACTTAAAGATTGGTAAATCAAGTTATTGATAATTCATAGGAAGGGTCTGCTTTCCCTTCAAAAAACTAAGATTTCACACTGAAAAAAAAATGCCACCATATAAAGTTTGTAAGACATGCCTTTAAGAATGTGATACAAAGAAAGTACATAGACAAAGTTTCTACTGCCAAATGGCTAACTCTGTGTACAGCAAAGAAACTTGATAATCATAAGAAATATACAATATTCACTGGAAAATACCATGCAAGCTTGTACAGTATACAAACTTGTAATCACATCTGGTAGTAAGAGATGAGACCCATCCAAATACATAACAGTGATATAGCTTTCAACTTACGAGCTGTGACTCGCTATGGGAAATAAACACTGAATGTTGAAACTCCTACCTTCTTCCGAAGCTCCTTTCTCCTCCATCGTTTCCATTTCTGCACCAATAACATTTTTTTCAAACTGAGCATAAGCATCAAACACTTGTGTGAAGTCACGGACTGTAATAACTGTCTGAATGGCCTCCTCATAAATGTCTCTTGCCTGGAACATTCATCAAGAACATGTTATGAAACATTTCCTTCAATCTGGTATTAAACAGGTTTCTACCAAACAGGTGAAAACATCTTATATGACATTTTGGTGACTAGTGTGCAATGTATTTTTTTTTCCTTTATTAATGGTTCTGGTATTTTTTTGTACTTTTACGAATATTGAAACAGACAAGTTTCTAAGATTTGTCAAGAGGAGTTCTTTCTTAAGACAATATTCACTTAAATTGTACCTGGAATAATTCAAAGCAGTCATCATTTAGGTATATCGACGTTTAAATTCCAGATATCACAGATTTCAAGAATTTGTGCCGACATTAAAACAAGAGGCTGAATAAGCTTGATTTGTTCACATGTTCTGTTTATCATAAAGGAAAAAAATTTTGTTCAAAGTGTTAATTTTGAAAGCTATCATGTTTTGCCCTTAAACTAAACTATCCCTGCTTTCCTCAGAATGTTAAAGGCGACAAGACATATAATCCTAAGCCTCTACGTTATTCAGAAATTGTATGAAGACTGATACGTTGACCACTGTGACCTTATGCTCATATATCATGATACTGAGATTTTTGGTTTAATACTCATGAGCTAGATAGGTGAGTTAATGAATGGTGAAGAATTTAGACTACTTATAAATTCTACAATTACCTGTAGCTGTAGGAGGTCAAGGAATCTCAGTCAAGGTTTAAAAACAACTCATGATAGGGTGTTATTGTTTTAGTTTTTTAAAATCTATGTTGACAAGTAGATGACCATAATTGCAAATGAAACACAAAGATCCAACAAAGATCATCAGTATGTGGTATTTCATAAAAAATTGGTGTTGAGTTTTAAAAATACTAAATACACAATCACGATATCAAAACAACCACTCATCACATATACTACAAACCCGCTCAAAGTGTCCACCTCTGATGTAGTAATCAGCCATAGAGTTCCACAACACCCCTATCTGATCTGTGTAACGCTTCAGACCCTGACGAATGATTGGCTCAATCTTCAGGGATGTCACCTTGTCAGGATTCTTTGCAACCAACTCACATAGCTCATTCCACAGCTTGAAACAGAAATTGCAAAGATTTTCATGTTTAAATGATACCTGACAACTAGAAAATCAGATTTCTGTTTACTGTAATGGTTGATTTCATATTGAAGTCCTGATTAATATACTTAACACAGCTTATTTATCAATGCATGAAGATGAAGGTGCATTTGGTTGTTTTGTTTGTTTGCTGGGTATTACCCTGTAAATAGCTGAAGGGTGTGTGTGTTTCTTACCTGATGTTTAGATTTGCCCTCTTTAGACACAAATGTTTCATCATTAATGATATTCACTAAGCGTGTCGCTGCCTCATCCAACCAATCTATACTTTTTAGGTATTCTATATATGCTTCTGTATTCTCTTTCTGAAGCTGAAAATAAGCAATAACACAATTATCTTTGTTAGTATTAACTCAATGATATTGGAATTCATGGTATACATTCATAACAAAAATATTTTCTCATCCACAAATCGAGTTACCAATCAATTATCAAAAAGGTCAATCATCAGGTGATAGCCATTGAAATAAAAGTTTATACAGCAGAAAAGTCATAAAATAAAGTGTTGAAATATATTATGTTTTAGCTAATTCTATTGTTATGTGAATATTTCTGATAAATTTGATTAAAAGGTGTATCCAAACAAGCCATTCATTAAACAATTTTGATGAATTTGGCAGTCGTATAGTATGACAGTTTGTATTATTGTCAAAATTCCTAACTGTCACTTAAGTGATAACAAGAAAGATAATTCCAGGATATTGCAGGATTTAATCAGGTCAAGATGTTATCAACAATTTAACTGACTTCTTAAATATTACATTCATACAGAAACAATAGACAAATCTTAAATAATTTTCTAGTCTATATAATAAGTCATGTCCTTACACACAATCAACCCTACAGAGATTTGAATGCTGTACACACAGACAGTGGTCTCCTACTGGTTGTACACTATGTTTTAACACACAAGGAATAACATAAAAGATCCTATGACAATACCTTTAAGTGACGCCTGTACACACGGACAGTGGTCTCCTGTAGGTTGTATTTACACACAAATTTGAGGTAGACAGGCCAAACTCGGTGATGTTGGGTAATTGGAAGAGCCCTCAAAGCTCTGTCAAATGTGCGTCGAGTTTTGGTCACTTTACACTGGTCAACTAGGAACTGGCAATAATCCAGCCAAATCCGGGGCATCTGAATTAATAACAAAGCCTTTAACATAAAGAATTTCAGTCTGTGTAAAGTTTACTAACAAAAAGGACAAGATATTAAACTGTTGACATCTTTAAATAAGAGGGCCTTACAAATGAAAGAGTTTGTCATGTCCAGCATCCTACTTTACGTACCTTATTCATGAACACTAAGGCTCGTTCGTGTGCGTTATTGGCATCCTCATACAATGGTTCAGTGATGCAATGGCCCTTACACTGCCGTCGACGGATCTTTAGATAGTTGTACCACAGCTTATAACTTTTCACCAAACATTAAAATTATAACAGTTGATCAGGCACTTGACAAAAGATTGAAGTCTAACAACAAGACAAAATATTGAAATCAACAAATAGACAAAATAGTGAAGTCTATCAAATAGACAAAATATTGAAATCAACAAATAGACAAAATAGTGAAGTCTATCGAATAGACAAAATATTGAAGTCTAATAAATAGACAAAATATTGAAGTCTTACAAACTAACAATTTTTTTTACAAAATATATAGAAGGTACATACATAATAATGTACAAAGTACCAGAACAGTTGTCAGTATACAACTACTGTTCCTATGTTCTTTCAGCATTTGTTTGAAATTATGAATAAAATCTTAGCGATTACCATAGATTCATAATTTTTTCAATAGTAACAAGGTGAACCATAGACAGCAAAACAGATTACAAGTAAATATAACGTGTTTGGCTTTTTTTTAACAAATACTGGTGATATGGAAGATATATATAAGAGATTTAACAAAATATTATTTTATCTAAATAAACTTGTAATATTATAGAATCTGATATCCATATCCTATCAATATTGTAGACATGTGAAAGTTCTGGCAGTGATTGATACAATAAGTCTACTATTGTAACAGTTTGATGAAGAAACAGCATCAACTCTAGCGACATGACACACTCCTTTAAGATAAGACATTTAACATGTCAATAGCTTTTACCTTCCTGGAAGTTCCTTTAATGCTCGCTCATATACCAAGTTAATTGCATTTTTAGGGGCACCTTTCTTGTGTTCAATATATCGCAACCAGCACTTCACTGAAAATGGATTCCGCAAGATATCTTCTTCATATGGAAGATCTTCATCTTCCTAAAATTGAAAAGGCGTAAAGTGATAATTTGGTACACATGTATCAGGAAAATCAAGATAATGTCAGAAGTAACACCTGAAAAGATCCATTGGAAGTTCATGAAAAGATTTACAGAAAATTTAAACCTAAATTACCCATGTAACTTTATAGAGCACACAGCTATTGTTTTCAAATTTGTTAATGTAAATAGAAAATAATTTACCTTGAAATTTTGGTACTATAATGTTAAAGTTTGTTATTAGAACAAGATTCCCTGTTCGTTATTTATCATAAGCAACAGTACTTGAAACAAGAAAATGGAAAATAAACTGGAGCAAAACTGAATGTTGATTATCGCCTCACATTATAAGAAGATATAGGAGGCCTATATATAAACAATTGATCTCAGAATCCACTTAACGATGTAGCGTTAATTTATTATCATAACATTGTATTATACTATTAACACCTGTCCACCAATCGCATTAATGTCTTATCAGATTCACATTACTGCAGTTGCAAGCTGATCACATGTACTAATCTCGTCTGTCAATACCGCCATGATGCGAGTATTGAAGGAAAAGGATATTACTGGAGCTCCATTTCCTGGTCATGATCATCAAACCGGATGCATTTTTCTTCCCTCCTCCATTTAAGTTCACTGCATACTTAACTGTCTATGCTATAACCTCCTTACACTGAATCTTGTAACATACAAGGCTTTCGCCTCAAAAGAAAAAAATTAAATACTTAAGAGAATTACATACGAAGAAAATGTCTTTCTGTGATTCCTTTTTCTCAGGCATTATCATTTCAGCAAACGTGGACTTGACAGACGTAAAAAACTCTTTCAGTGATGACTTCCAAATCGAAACGTGAGTTTATTGTGGTCGTATGCCTCACGTTCACATGGAGGGCGCCATCTTTGATAGACCTGCACATTTTTTGAAAATAACTGGTTGAGCAAGAGTATAATTTTAAATTTAGAATGTAGAAGATGTTGCCATCACATTCGCCCTTTCTGAAAGTAGAACTTTATAACGTAGAAATGCGGTTGTTATACCATTATATTATGTGTTTGTAGATTTACGAATGAAATATTGCTTAGAAAACAACCACTATCCCTCTGAAGATAATGAAACATTCCAATTTGACCTAACCGGAAGTGTTGGTCTACTATTGAGCGTGAATATTAATGTCTGATTTCCCTCCAACTGCTGAAACCGACGACTGAAGTTTTTCATGTGTTGACTGTTCTAAGATTCAGTTACAACTATTTCTGCTATGTGGACGGAATAGGTAAGATGATTGTAACTTATTTTAATGTAGTTTTACTTTCAAATTTACCATTGTTTGTATGTTGACATAAAGAAAAAAATAAGCATTCACAATATAGACACACTTGCATGGGACTGCTGTCATAGAAAATTTCATTGATTTTTGAGTCATTATATCTTTTTTTCCTTATTAATAAGCCCTCTTTATATGTTAGTCATGCTAAGATTGCAGACAGTATATTGCTGTAAAAAATGTACTGCCATAATAAATTCTACTGTTCTTACCGCTAATTCATTCTAACTGTCAAATTTAACCACAAGTCACAAGAGTGAAGTACATGCTGAGCAGGTACATTTCATATATCAACTGTTAGATCAATATCTTTAGTAGCAATCTTAGGTAAGAATTTGACTTATTCAACAGTTCTTACCTTTACATGTTCCTGATCTTCTATCAGAACAAACATGGATGACATATTCTAAATGTAGTTTGTTAAGATCAACAAGTGCATTTTTTTTTTTACATGTGAAAAGATCAAATTAATTAAATAACGACCTGAAAATGGTTTAAACACGATCAATATCAGCTGCCACAATTTCTAGACATTTGTATATAGAACTGCCATTTTCACCTGTCTACAGAAAGCCAGTCTGTGAGTCAGGGATGACTTTGCCATTGTACTGGATGCAACATCATATGAGGGACACGACAAAGAGCGTGTTGTACATTTATAAAGATTTCATATGGTATACACAGTTTCAATCAATCACAAAACACTGCAAAGTTGAAGGGTATATCTATGTGGGGTCATATCATTCATCAACATCAGTTTAAGCCACATTTAGAGGTCAACATACAGTTGTGTAAGTGCAAAATTAATTTTTAATGTAGAAAGATTTCATTTCATGACTTGAAAATGTAATAAACCTGATCAAAATCAGTAGTCACATTCTATACATATTTATTTACGAAATCACCAATTTTCTCAAGTATTGAGATTGTTAATCGGCTATGGGTGACTTTCCCATTAAACAGATGTGATATCATAAGAGGAATATGACCAAGAACTTACCAACTTGCAGGGAAAATCTTTTCAGTCAAAAGAAAAAAATTACTAACTTGTGCAAAAACAACCTGCCAAAAGTGAATTACAGGTGGTCAAATCCAGTGTCAGCAGACTCTGATTGACAACCCAAGGCAGGTTATTTTGATGTGGTTTCCATCCTTTTTTGATTTTGTTCAGGGTACACTATAAATCAAAAGGATGCATACATAATTACCCTTTTTACAATGATCTGAGGCATTTTATTTGGTTTTGAAAGGTAACAACTGAAATACGTTGTTTTCTAACTAAATATTTTCACACATGCAATCTTAATATAAATACAGTGTAAACACACCAGCTGACTGACCAAGAGATGCATCCCTCTTAAAGATATTACATTGACGAAGGTCAAATTTTTGGTAGTTATTGTCATATGGATGAGTTTAGTGTCAATCACAGCATTACTTGAAAACACCTGGCATGGCCTGGTTTGCATATAACTTTCACAGTTTTGTCTAACAAATGATTGAAGCAGAGCCTGAGAAATATGAATATGAATGGATTGTAATTGAATCCTAAATATGTCTGACATCTATCCATAGTAAAAGTCAGTATGCAAATGGCAGTTATAATTCTTGTCATCATACTTTATATCATTACTACATATTGTAACCCTGGTAAAATACTAGCCGCAATATACCACTCGGCTAGAGAGAACTTCTCTTTAGCTCAATTGGTTGAGTGTCAGACTGGTAAGCCAGGGGTCCTGGGTTCGATTCCTAGCGGAGGCATTGAGATGAAAAATGACCTCTGTTACATTGGCGCCCATATAGGGACCCGGGAATAGTACTTAGCCATGCCCCACCAGCATCGCTGTCACCCCTGGAAACTCGAGGACAAGTTATTTCCTGGAGGGGAAGTATGTAACCCTGTTAAAATACTAGCCGCAATATACCACTCGGCTAGAGAGAACTTCATTTTAGCTCGATTGGTTGAGCGTCCGACTAGTAAGCCAGGGGTCCCAGATTCGATTCCTAGCGGAGGCATTGAGATGAAAAATGACCTCTGTTACAATATCAATGATATATTGACAGAATGCCAAGTCTGGTGTATCAGTATAATTTATTTCCAGTGTAGGGAACTGTGAAACTATAGTGTATTGGCCATAATTCACTGATTTTTTTTTTTATTTTTATTTTTTTTTTTTTTTGCATACTGCATTATCTATCTGTCACTTTTTCCCTAAAAATCACTATTAGTCACCAACGGATAGGATTTTGACCATATTTGGTTAACAGCATTCTTGGGGGAAGGGGAACAAATGTTTTATCAGTGTTGGGTCCCAGCCCCCAGGAACCTAAGTGGTGAGACCCAAAAATGGAAATTGGAAAATCTTACTCCTCCTGTAGGAATGATGGGATTTTGCCCAAATTTGGTCTGATGCATTGTTGGGTGAAGGGGAATCAATATTGAATGAACAGTGCATCTTGATACCCTGGGACAGGAAGGAATGAGCACAATAGCAGAGATAGAACCAATTCTTTAAAATCCTACTCCCCTTGTAGGAATCAATGGATTTTGCCTAGATTTGGTCTGAAGCATTGTTGGATGAAAGGGAATCATTCTTGCGTAAATAATAGGTCTTAGCTTCCTTGGGTCAGAGGGGCAAGGCCCAGTAGGGGAAATAGAGCAAATTCTTTAAAATTAGATTCCTTTTGTAGGAATGATTTGATTTTACCCAAATTTGGTCTGAAGTATGATTTAGTGAAAGGGAATCAATTTTGTATACCAGTAAATGGTTGGTCTTGGACCTCTAGGGCAGGAGGGAAGGGGCTCAGTAGGGGACAGGGGTTATATATCCTTAAAACAATGGAGATCCCCATCCCATAACAATATAAAGCATTGCTGGGTACAAAGAGATAAGCATAATCATGATGATGGAATTGGCCCGTTGGTGTGGCCTCACCCCCAGGGATTTCATTTCCTTGTTATATCATCGATGCAGTTGATATCCCCACCCCATAACCATATATAGCAATGTTGAGGATCAGGAGGTCAATACAATCATGATGTAAGGGTTGGCCCTGGGGTCTGGCCCCACCCCTAGGGACTAAGTTTATGGGGCTATATCATTGAAACAGTTGAGATCCCCACACTTAAACCATATATAGCAATGCTGGACATCAAGAGATAACCATGATTTAAGAATTAGCCCTGGAAAGTGGGCCCAAGCCTTAGTTTCTGGGTTATATCTTTCAAAACCCTGTAACCATATATAGTGTTACATTACTAGGCATCAAGAATTTGCTGGTAAGTATAAAGTAAAGCTCCACCACTCTGGATTTAATTTTTAAGTGACTTTTTTTAAACGGTTGAGATCCCCACCACATAACCATATAAACTCTCACTGGACATCAAAAAAAAAGACAGTAATGATATAAGAATTTACCCATTGGTTTTGCCCTACCAAAAGAAGTGGTTATGTTTGCATATTATTCATTTTATATGTAAACATACTATTCCATGACATTTGTTGTGAGAATCTAATGCAAATGGGAATTTAATTGTGATCAGTTTTGTGACCCTTTGTCATTAATTTTCATGTAACCAAAATGCTGCCTACTCCTTTTTTTCGCCTTTTTGTTAGGACATCTGACCTGAAGGTTCAGAAGGACTTATAGCCATTTTGTTTCATCTGTCATCATCTGCTTAAACATTCCATTGAAATGATTTCTTCTCATTAACCAAAATTCCCATGGTTCTGATATTGGGCCTGAAGCATGATGGAATAAAGGGCTACCAAGTGTGTTGATATGAATTACCTTGACCCCTTTTCAAGGTCAAAGGCTGCAATAGGGAAATTATCTAAGAAATTATACAGATTTGAAACATTTCATTAAATGACTCATTAGCTCAGTATTAGCCTGGTGAGTGATGCAGGTCCCAGATGCCTCATATTTTGTTAAAAATAGCTTTCGTTAATATTCAATAGTTGAACAAACTTGTATATAATATACTATCAACTTATTACTATAGATCACAAAGGTACTGCAATACATTGATACGTCAACTTTGATTTACACCTCTAATAATTATATTAGTGTTTGATTATAAGAATTAACATTTAAATAGAAAATCTACACTGTATATTCAAAAACTGATTATTTGATCTTTGGTTGTAATTGCAGAGAAATTATTACATCGTCTCTTGTAACAAATTTTCATCACGTTTTATGCCCTGTGAATACGGATAAGCAATATAATGCTTATATAGTGAATAAGTTCACAATAAGGTCAAGATTTGAAACTCATTATCAAGGAACTATCTGCAAAACCATTTGTGTGCTACTACATGGCATGGATAACACTTGCATGGTTACATCCATGTTAGTATGGCTCAGTTGCTTAGTGAATTGGATTTGTAAATAAGTATGATGGGATAGTGTTGTGTCATGTCATGTTCATCAAGTTCAACAGTGGAATGAATTCAATGGCAATGAATGGGTCTGGTACTCTGAAGAATACTCTCTGATAGCATATGGGACACACAATGTTCCTGTGGACTAGTTTGGGAACTCAGGGTCTCTATAGTCCAGAGGTGGCACCACTATAACAACTAGACAAATAGTTGTGTATTGCTGAAGATACCTGGTTGAACTTATGAAAGTTTCTGGACAAAGCTCACTGGGAAAAAGTGATGGTCGAGAATATCGTGGCCATGTTCCAAAGTTATGTCAAGCATGGTCAGTAGTTTTTTAAGATGGGTGATCTAACAGATTGGCATGTATATGAATATGGTTTCTCAAAATGGGTGAGGAAGAATGGTGATTTTTTCGGTTCTTGTTTTAATTATTGAAATTCCAAAACTTATGGTCATAGTCTGGGGAAAGTTTTAACTTTGTGATAGATAGTTCCCAGCTTCAGCTCAGATTTATAATTGATCTGATAACAGGTTGACCAGAATAATCACAGTACCAGCATCACAATGACAGAGAATCAGGACCTGTATTAAAGATAAAGGTCAAGTGTCCACTTAACCTGACCACACAGGAAGTGGACAGGCACTCCAGCCAGGCCACCATGGACAGCCAAGCTAATAAAAAGGTAGGTTTTGTTTTAGTTTCTCTATAGCCTATTGTCTGCTTTATCTATTAATAGGAATCATTCACAGCAGGAAATATTTCTTTTCAAAAATGAAGACATTTAAATTGAAAGCATGCATATCATGATTAATGAAGGAATTGTGATGTGCAATATTTGTTCTATATTTCTAGTTTAAAAAGATTGTGACATATTTAAAATAGCCATGAAATTTCTTCATCAATGTTGAAATATCATCTGCCTGAATTATTCCAATTTCTTCTGCACATCTAATACTTCAGTATCCATCGCTCAAATAATGATATATGGGCTGACATGCAGTCAGTGTGTTTAATTCTTGATGGAAGCTCTTTGTATTCTTGTGTAAGGCCCAGGACTAAAGCATAAAAAGTTAATTGAATTCTGTATAAAATATATATATGTATGAGCAGTTTTTTGTAAACATTTGATGTTGATGAAGAGCTCATCCTGTTAACAGTAGTAATGATTGTTCAGCATACTGACGTGCAGTTCAGTATGTTGATTATAAATATAGTGGGAGAATTAACTTAATATTGATTATAGATATGATGAGAGAATGAACTGTATACTGTTAGCTGTAGTAATTTTGCTCTCTTGTAAAGTAGGATCATCAAGTCAAGCACTCAGACCCAATGTGGTGTTTTTACAGTATTTGTTGGCTATGGTTTAGTTCCAGCTTTTTTACGACACATATGAAAAAGAAACTTCTTTCACTTTGGGAAGAAAATTGATCACTTGAGAAGGAAGTCTAAGGATTGAAATATAATTTTTAGGAAATTGGCCATATTAGGAAATAATTCCAGTTGGGAATGGGGCCCATATTCAGCTTACAGAGCCCCTAGAAAAAGTCCTGTAACAGAGAATATGGGGTACATATAAGAACTATGAAACAAATAGTAATTAATAAGAATTAGTTTCCTGTTATCAGTATAGTGATTTCTGTAGAATTTTTAGCCCACCATCTGACAGAGAAAACAATAGAAATTAAGGGAAAAGATCCAACATTTAAAGAACAAATACAAATCTAGTAATGATGGTTGTCGGTAGGATTCTTCTGGGGTCTCCTATTACATGGAAGTGAACAAAGAGAAAATAACTGAAATGTAGGAAAATAGTTACATGTACCATATATTGATGATTTTGTTTGTTTGATTCTAATAAGTTAAATATCATCTAACAACATAGGTCATGTGAGGTCAGATGTTAAGGGGGAGACCTGAACAGTGAGAAGCAAAGAAAAAACTGCAGATGAGAAAGAAGTGAAAATGCAAATATTCTGAGAGTTACAATGGGGAAAGTAAAATTTGTGTTCAATTTTTTGAGGACTTAACTTTAATCTCCTCCTGCAGTATCACATATACATGTTGCAGGATACAGCAGTTCTCTGTTGTCTTCGTGGATTCTCTAATGTCTTCACAACAGAAAATAAAAACTAACTTTGGTCCTGGGGGCCCCAGGAAAATTTGGTTGCCTCTAGATCTAATGACATGTAGTTCCATACGATACGGGTTCTTTGAGAGAAGATTTGATGTACAAGGTATATATACTTAAAACGACTTATATATTTCTTGGAAAAGTACACATACATACTTGGTAATTAACAAATAGGTAAATGATAATTCATTTTGTACTTAATCTACAGCTGTTAAGAAGGTCGACTTTAGTTCTGTAGTTTTATACATGACTATCTTGTGACAAATATCTCCTGGCAACTGAAATATATAGAGGTTGGTTGAGAGAAGTATTGGTTTATATTGTATTGAAATGAAGATATGGGACCAGGGTCAGAGTTATAATACAAAACTATTGATCTTGTAGGATGTGTTTATACAAGCATGTGTTGAGCCTGTATCATTGACCAGCTAATACTTCCTCATAGATCACTCTAAAGTGCTTGGGAAATGTTGACCTATCATTAGAGCCTCATATTTAGACAATAGTAGCATTCTGTATTTGTTGTCATGTTGTTTAAAATATTTTATGATTTTGAAAAGTTCTTTAAACATTTAAAATAAAATGACCGTTATGGATATTTGAGAACGTCAATATATGTTATTACCAGGTGTATCTCCCATGGGTACTAGTACTGGGAAATAACTGTCATAGTATCAGGAATAAGAATGTTTCAAAATAACATTCACAGCAAAAATATTCAGTGATGTAAGTATGAGGCAAGCAAGCCCATGGTACATTAAATATACGTTAAATAACCTGGGACAAGTTTGAATTCAGTGAGAAAATTATAATGAATATACACCATTGTATAGACAATATGCAGAAAACATTTTCAAATACGTTTTCAAATACATTAAACAAGTATTTAATACTACTTGCGACATGCACTGTCATGTTCACCAACTTGAAGAATCTATAGCTATAAAGATGTTAATATTCTCTTTACATAATGAATACTTGTATTTTTTTAAAAATTGATTTTCTGACAATATTGAATTAAAATCTTTGGGATGAATGTCTTTCAATTTATTTAATGGGTTTAACATCCAATATCACAGCCTTTCAACAAATGATTTTTTTAACATAAAGAGGTTAAGAATCTAAAGTCAAAATTTTTTTTGATGAAAAATTTGAAGCATCAGCATTTGATGAAAATGCATTGGTGACAGACATGATTAATTCATACCTGAACTCTGATAGGTTCTTGTGGTGTTATAGATATATAAATGCCCTTGTGTATTCGTTGATACCAGATTGTAGTGATTGGAGGTAACACAGGTACAGCATTAATTCATTATTGATTATAAGGTACAATTTGTATAACCTTTCAGGCTATTACACTTAACTACCAGGCGTTCAGGGTAAAATTCAATATTTCTCACCTATATGACATTTATTCACTACTGCTAAATTTAGGTTAATAACAACGTATCAGTGCAGTGTGAGAGTTGCGAGACAAGATCTTTATAAGGCGTATCATTCAACGTGGATCAATACAGAAAGATGATCACGAACATGTAACGAAAAACTCAATTGTTATGGCAGAAAGGTTGAAGGTATGAAATTGATTTCTTATACTTATATTACAATCTCTTTTTGTCTCTACAGAATATTTTTAGACATCAAGGAGATCCTGGAATCACTGATCTGTTTGCATAGTCATTCCATATTTGTTCATTACATCTTACTCGGAATCAAGGGGATGGGCTTATTACAGGACAATGAAATAGCATTGAAACATTTATAGATCTACCGAGTATCATTATATGTACATGGGTGGGCTCAATGTCAGATAAATATGTTGTCTCATCTTTCACTAGCAGTTTTTTATTTGAATGTCTTTGAAATAAAAAAAAAAAATTGATCTAGAATTTGAATGTCACTTATGATACAAGTGTTTGTATTGACTTGCTGGGGTTATGTTTGAATGAGGCAACTTTATTTCTGATTCTAGTGAAAGTTCTAGATCTCTCTCTCTTGCACACAACCATTCAATCTAATACATACTTTACATGCGCGAGTTAAAATATTTAATACTCACCTAGGGTCAGACTAACAGATTACAGCTTGTTCTTACTGATAATGGAATATATGTCTACTGTATTTACTTATTTATGATATTAAGTTGACAAGTACATTGTAGATTCTAGGATGTTATTCTGTTATTGCCTTGTCATATTCACACAAGGAAGTCAGAGTAATTGAGCACCATTCGGGGACTGATATGTTCTGGGACTGTTCTATATATCTTAGTATATTTGGAGCGTGCTTTCAATTACATTTCCATCACTTGTAAACATAAAAGTATACAAAGTGATACCCTACTTTGTTTTGAAATGCACAACAGTATATTCAATTGACCACGGTATATTTTGATTAACTAAATGTATCGAAAATTAAGTTTTATTAACAGTAGGCGGTGAAGATGGTAAATTGGATAAACATTTTGGAGAAATCTTAGATACTGTGTTCTGAGGATTTGTCACATCACTTGTACTAACATTCAAAGTGAACTGGAATTTACCTAAAGGATGTCATTGATGTCTCTTTGTATACATGTTTCTGATATCATTTGCTACATGATCATCTGGGTCAGATGGGGAGACCTTGATTTTATTGTAATTCCGTGCATCCAGGCCACGAGGCATTAAAATCAGAAAGTTGTTGACTGTTGTTTATCATCTGTCAGATGTCCAATCAAGCATCATGTTACATCTCAAAAGAATTAAACTCCATTTTTGTCTTCATTTTGAAAGTCAGTCGAGTACTTGCAATTAAACCTGCATGATCAGTGCCCAATATTGTTTCAACTGTATATCTCATTTCTTCTTGAGTTCTTTAGGACAGCATCTTAAGAAAGATACATTCTTCATGATGAAATGTGAAACACATTTAGTAACATGGTTAAGTAATATATACCTAACTAATTGAATTCAAGCAAGTAGCACTGAGTATATATATCAATGACATTAAGGTATTCCAATCGGATTATCTCTGTTTTCATCCAGCTGTTAATTGAATGTGTCTTTACCACCTGTCATACATCCTGACATACCTATTGTTGAGATATTAATAGCTACACATGGTATTGCAATGGTTGTATTATTACATTCTTTGTGTGTGCACCATTAAGCAATGACAGTATTTTATATTTTGTAATGAAAATATAGAATGTCCAAAAGTAGATTGGTTAACGAGCGATAGCCTCAATGAAACCTCAGTTGAAGGTCAGAGATTGATAGTTTAAGCTCACTACCTGTGGCAGTATATGTATCACAGAAAGCTGAGAAAGGGACTAGTCTGGATATGGTTGTGTTCTTTGGCAAGACACTTTACCATAATTCCTCTGGATGGACTGTAATGGGCCTCTCTTATGTTGTTCATTGAGCTAGCCACCAGTTATTACAAGGATACAACCTCAAAATGACCATGGCTCTTCACAGGATGACAAATACCAACAAACAGATATATAGATATACAATATCCTAAATATCTACAAAGAATTATTTTGTAAATATGGGTTGTTT